TATATATACACACACATACATGTATATATATATATATATAATATATATATATATATATATATAGTGTGTGAGAAGAAATGCAAGAAATTCTCGGTAAACCATAAGAAAGGAGCGTTCATTATGCAAGCCAAGAACTTTAGGACATTTAAAGAGGTCTTTTGGAAGGTTACGAACCTGAAACAACACGTCATGTGCGTGACTGCCCCAAATTGATGTATCTTGTAACAAAAGTGGTTCCCGATGAGGAGCAGACCGCCCAGGCGCCCGTTGCTAAGCGCCCGTTGCTAAGCGCCCTCATGATGGGGCCGAGATGGGTCCTCAGAAGAAGCTGAGGAAGGATGAAGGCAGAGAGCAGGAGGCTCCACGGACGGAGAAGACCCCCCGATCCTCTGAAAAGCGCCATCACCACAGGGCCGACGAGGTCTCCCACAAGGTGAGGAAGGATGAAGGCAGAGAGCACAAAGACGAGGGCAAGCAGAAGCCTGTCAAAACCATTCTGCCTGGAGAGCAGGACAAGAGGTAGCCTCAAATTGTGTTAGCACAGCAGAAGCTACCCCGCCCGGATCCGCAGAAAAAAAAATCAATTTTCTAAGACTGCTTCCAGAGGTTGAGATCATTATCCTTCAGCGACGCGTCTAAACATCGAAGCCCAACGCGTGACGATATCAGCGTTTTGAACCAACTGTGCGCCGATTCTGCACTTCCCGTCTTCTCCCGTGAGGAGGTCAATACATACATGGGGGAGAGGCCCGAGGCGTTGGGCGAGGGCGCTTCTGGGAAAGGCCTTTTTGAACAAGGGAAAGATGCTGGTGGTGAAATTTGCATCATGTATCAATTTATACCGAACCAATATAGGGGAGGCCTTGATAATGAAGCTCTTTCCGAATACCGCCCTGGTTTCCAGGACCTTTCTTGACGCAACTGTGCAAGATCCTTTCGGACTTGCACCAGCACGGCTTCGTCCATAATGACGTCAAGATGCAGAACGCGTGTTTCAGGCTGACCGCGTCGGGCCCCGTGGTGACCCTTATCGACTTCGGGGTCACCATGCCGCCCCGCCAGAGAGTAAGGGAGGATATTGCTAGTCCTGACATCTTCAGGGTCGGCCAGTTCCTGCGCCGACTCTTTGAAGGCCAGCAGCTGCCACCCCTGCTCAACAGCTGGTACACTAGGAGCCAGTCCAGAGGCCAGAGCGAGTACAGTGACCTGTTCCTGTTGGTGGAGTTCGTGGAGGAGCAGAGATTATCGCATCTCCGCTTTGGCCGCTGATGACGGGCCATGGCCCAGACGCCACACCTTATGGGCGTCTGTCCGGAAGCCAAGCTCTCATTTTGGACTTTGCTGGTCGCGGTAGAAAGTAGTGACTGGCTGAACCTCGTTCGCACTCGCAAGAAATTGTTGTTATTGATGTGCATATTGCATCAACGTGAACAGAATAAGGTTGAACAAGGTATGTCGATCAAAGTGTATCGAATCCATTAATTCTAGATTCCTGTTCAGAAAGTGTTTCTTCAAGCTTTTCAACACTTTCAGGGGACCGTTGCCTTGAGTTAGTTGAGAGAAGGAAAGTAATTTCAACTTTTGTAGTGTATCAACTATATGTTATATTCATGATGATTTTGAGAATTTGTCAGTACATCCTGATGGAGATCCCGCAATACGTGGCCCTTACATTATAGAGTTTTTGTCACTTGCATTTAGTCAGTACACCTTTCTGTTAGTCCCTCCGTAGCTATCGCAAGGTTGCTCAACACAATTCACGCGAATTAATGGAATATGAAACCAAATAGAACGTGTAGAAGTTGGATTTGATGTAAATACTGACTCTTCAGGATTGTCGACACCATTATATCTCAAAAAAAATATTTATTGGGGAGATTCAAATGAGAACAAAATGCAATGTTTGCTTACAGACTAACATTGTTGTTTATAATTTACACTTAACAGGATATGAAATCTTTATTTTTTTAGGGTATTCGAAGAACACATAACAGCCGTAGCAACACCGGAGCTGCTCTAGTTCTCCCCGACGTTCTGCCACGTTCACGTACGTCGTTCTCTCGTTCTGCCACGGGACGTTGTAGCTCGTGTTCTGAAGTTCACCCAAAGGCAAACTACACCTTTTCAGTGTTTTGTGTAACGCGTGTACCTCAGGCAGATTATTCCACAGTCCACTCTTATCCTGCTGTGTTGGCAACCACTGGACCGCATACAAACTCATAATTATTTTCATTTTAATTACGTTTGACGATAAATACTGCCAGTGTTGGAGCAAGGTCTACATAAGTATCTATATAAGTACTTATATAGACCTTGTGTTGGAGCACTCTATCAATAGAGAATGTCGGATTATGATACGTATGATTTTAAGAAATATTTACTGCTGTACCATGGTGGTGCCTTTGGTCATCATGATATTGGTAATGGTTTTCGCAAAGGACAGAATATGGGACAGTGCTGTAGCAAAAGAAAAATAAGAAGAAATGAGAGATATATAGGACAGCAAAAGGAGAGATAAGAAAGAATATCGGACAAAGTTACAGCAAAAAGGGGAGAAATAAGTGAGAGAATATTAAACAAAACCACAACAAAAGAAGAAGAAATAGGAGAGAATATCGGACAAAGCTACAACAAAAGAAGAAGAGATAAGAAAGAATAAAGTACAAAGCTACAGGAAAAGGAGAAGAAACAAGAGAGAGAAAGACAAAGCTAAGGTAAAAGAAGAAGAGATAAGAAAGAATAAAGTACAAAGCTACAGGAAAAGGAGAAGAAACAAGCGAGAGAAAGACAAAGCTAAGGCAAAAGAAGAAGAGATAAGAAAGGATAAAGTACAAAGCTACAGGAAAAGGAGAAGAAACAAGCGAGAGAAAGACAAAGCTAAGGCAAAAGAAGAAGAAATAAGAAAGAATAAAGTACAAAGCTACAGGAGAAGGAGAAGAAACAAGCGAGAGAAAGACAAAGCTAAGGCAAAAGAAGAAATAAGTGATAGAAGCATCAAAGTATCTGAGTACCCGGATGAAAGCTTCATGTGTGTGTGTGTGTGTGTGTGTGTGTGGTGTTCGTTTTCTCCCGCGTGTATGTACGTATGCGTTTGTTAATATATATATGCATATATGTGTGTGTACGTGCATGCGAGGTAGACGGACATGAGCGTCTTTTAATAAGTTTAGAATTTACAGAAAAAAACGGGAAACGAAAAGAAGAAAAAAAAAACATGTTTTTGTAAGCATGTGAAAAGGTGTGAAAATAACTTGTCTTGCATCTGGCAGGCAGACGAGCCTCACTTCCCATAACCTGGAAAAGAAGAATTATTTGAATATACATCTTTGTAACAGCACTAGTGGCATGTAGAGAGACAAAGAGAGAGAGAGAGACAAAGAGAGAGAGAGAGAGAGAGAGAGAGAGAGAGAGAGCGAGAGAGAGAGAGAGAGAGAGAGAGAGAGAGAGACAGAGAGAGAGAGAGAGAGAGAGAGAGAGAGAGACAGAGAGAGAGAGAGAGAGAGAGAGAGAGAGAGAGCGAGAGAGAGAGAGAGAGAGAGAGAGAGAGAGAGACAGAGAGAGAGAGAGAGAGAGAGAGAGAGAGAGACAGAGAGAGAGAGAGAGAGAGAGAGAGAGAGAGAGCGAGAGAGAGAGAGAGAGAGAGAGAGAGAGAGAGAGAGACAGAGACAGAGACAGAGACAGAGACAGAAAGAGAGAGGGGCGAGGAGGCGAACGAGAAGAGAATGACAGAAAAAGAAGGGGAGAAAAAAAAGCATCACCATCATCATTATCATCACCATCATCACCATCACCATCACCACTATCAGAGCAGTCGTTGTTTATTTCCTTATATCTATCCAATGCTACAATCTTTATTACGATTATCATTTCATTACCAAATTGTAACTGATAACAACGATAATCACAGATATAACATCAGCAATAGTACACCATTAATAGGAATAATATCAGAGGTATTAATGGTAATAATGATATTACAACTACAACAAAGTAACTGCTGTTGTTACTATAACTACTACTACTTTTACAACTATGATTATAACAAGTATGACAATTTTGATGATAATGATGATGATGATGATAATAATAATAATACGAAAAGCATAATGAAAATAATTAATGATAATAATAATAATAATAATCACCATAGTAATAATAATAATAACAATGACAAATACTATAATGATTATAAAGATGATAATAAAAATGATGATAATATCAATATCATAATAATAACAGCAATGCCATAATAATAAGAAGAAGAAAGTAATAATGATAATAAAGTTTAGCAATAACAATGGCTATGCTAATAATAATAATAATAATAATAATTATTATTATTATTATTATTATTATTATTATTATTATTATTATTATTATTATTATTATTATTATAATGACAATAATAATAATGATGTAATAAAAATTGTGATAACAATTCATCACACGAGAGATGCAGCATCAAATGAAGGACGTTTAAAACCCACCTTTAGTTAACAGCGGTCAAGTGAAACACACTTTAAACCCACCTTTGACAGCGCTGTGGCAATCCTTCGTGACGGTGACGTAATCTTCCATCTCCACTGTGAACGTCACGTATTTTGTCTGAAGTTCTGTGGTCGTCACTCGCTCTGTGGTCGTGACGTGTTGGGGAACGAATTCTGTTTCTGTCTCTGTGACTTCCTGTTTAGGGGTAAAGGGTTAAGTGAAGAAGTAGCATTTGGCTTCATTTCGCAACTGATTTTTTTTTTTTTTTTCGTTTCTTCTTTCTTTCTTTCTTTAATCTTGTTTCACGTGTTTATCGACTGACTTTAAAGATGGGATTAAAATGTCTCTCGAAGGTGGAAGTTTAATGATTTCATGACGATTATGGAAGTTGCGATTCACTGCAATCAAATCATATTTTGCTTTTAGCCGAGTGCATAACATTACTGTGATTGTTTTAATTAAACATTTTAGCTGGAATTGTAAGGCCTGTGAATATGTCAAATATGAAATGAGTTACTCTTTGTCGAATATCTTCTCCATCTATTTAATTCTCTAGACTATTTTTTATCTAGAACTGAAGTGTAACAGAAGTGAATCATTTGTAAACCTAGTTTTATTACTCAAAACCATTCATAAGTATTGCTCATGCCAAGAAAATTGGAAAAAAGGCCTTGTATGTTCTTTAAACACATTCTGATGAAAAGTCCATAAATGATTAATAGGAGGTCTAGGGTTCGAAAAGGAATCAAGACAACAGTCGAAACAGTCGAAAGTGAGAGAGAGAGAGAGAGAGAGAGAGAGAGAGAGAGAGAGAGAGAGAA